TTAAAAACAGCTGCCTGTGGACCTCCACAGTGATCCCACACGAGGCCGATGCGACCCACCAGGAGATCCTCTTAGCTGCACACAATCAGACCCTGCTGCATACTAATATGAATATAAGTCCAGTACTTATGTGTACTTTAACTGTACTAGCTTGTTACTACATGTCAGATTTTAGCTGTCAGCAAGCTGAATACACTAAAACTCCCATTTCTACCAAATAGCACTGCTAATATGTAGTCACCACGTAATTATTACGTGCTTTAAGTATTTATTAGTTTAAATATTCCCATCTTTTTCATTTGACCTGTTGAGCATATAAAACTATTAACAAGACTATATTTAATATGCATGTCGTCTTTCGTTTGCTTTGTTTAGCTGAGCGTAATGATTTATTAGCCTGCTTCTCTCCTCTGTTGATCCAACTCTTCTGGACCAGGATGCAGTTTAGATTCCTGCAGGACGCAGAAACGTTTCCTGCTGTGTGTGACGGTTGTTTGACGGCCTGTACGACGACCGAAGCCGGCTTAGTTTTTTTAAATCCACGCTCATTCTCCTGTGCAGGTTTACAAATCCAGTCGTGTGTGGCTGACGCGATAACAAGCGTATGAAGCTGAGTGTTTGAGCTGTGAAGACTCTGTAGATGTTTGTCATCGATGATCCGAGTGAGGCCGACACACACTGAGGATCAGAGGAGCGTTTGGATTCCTGTAAAGCTGGAAAATGATTCGTTTAAATGTGTCACACATTCAGAGCACACCGGGTTAGAAAAACCAAGTTAGATGAAAAGCCAGCGATCTGGTCCTCAGTGTGTTGAGACGCCACTCTTGTCCCCGAGCTGTAAACACAGCTGCTGTCAGTGTGTCCGTTTAACCCTTTAAACTTCAGCCTTTCATTTTCAGATGAGTTGCCTAATGTCTTACCGTATACGCTTAAAGAAGCTCTGGTTTGATTTCTTTGTATAATACTCCTACTTCAGGTGCTCTCCTATAATTATGAGGTTTCCCTCGTGCATTT